GTTGGGGTTTGGCTTTGTACAGACTCTTGTTCAGCATTTATTTGCAGGTGCTGGGGCTTCTCTTGTCACCATGGCAACCACGGGTTGCAGGGAGGGCAGCCCTTTGTCCTTGTGCCCTGTTTGTAGGTCTCCACGGGCCACCCACTGCCAGCCTGGTCCCCTGCTGCTAAGGGCAGGTTGGCCAAGGTAGGGTCTGCTGGGACCCCGAAGAAACAGTTCCCTGTGGGGAAGTCAGGCCTCTGGAAATCTGGCTTGCCCATCCTGGCGAGTTCCGTCCTAACTGACCCAGCAGCTGTCTAGATAAAGGTGTGATTGATTCGCTGGTGTCCGATGAGAAAGGAAAAGCCAAGTGCATCAAGGGGCAGGGATTGCTTCGTGCGGGTGGGTGCACACTGTAGTCCCCAAGGTGCAGAGTAGCTACATGCATGCTACATACATGCACAGTTTGGGAAAGCTGCTTCCTTCCTTGTCTGTAGAAGGTGGCTTTAAGATTCCATGTCTGGGGTCATAAATAAGCTCCTTGAGTGTGGGAGACCAGCTCTGACCTTTCAGAGGGTTCTTGGGGGAGGGGTGAGGAATGCGGAAGTATTAAATAGAGATACAGACACAACAGACACAGGATAGCTTCCGGAGGGCCCTGGGTCAATACCCAGTCACCAGAGTTTAATCACTGGGCTTTTTATGCACAGGTCGAGGTTGTAAAGTACCGAGTGTAGACCCTTCCAAACATCTGGCAACTGTGCCCTCGGCTAAATCATCCCATTATGTAGCCCTGCTGGGTGAAGCAAGCCCAGACTTTCTGACCTTGAGTAAGGCCTTACCAGAGGACTTCAGGGGTCCTCCCAGAAGCTGTGCAGTGAGCTAGCTCCCTTGCTCAGAGGCAGAGGACTTCAGGGGTCCTCTCAAGCTGTGCAGTGAGCTAGCTCCCTTGCTCAGCGGCAGAGTGAGATGCTCCATCTCTGCCTGCTAGGGTGACACCTCCCTGGGTGAAGCTGTAAGAGGAGAGCTACCTTCAAAGAGGCAAGGAGCAGCTGTTGATGAGTTTTAAACTGAAGAGCTGGCCCAGCAGTGGTGGCACCACCTTGAGCAGGCAGAGGCAGGTGGGTCTGGGTCCCAGGACAGCCAGGGTTACATAGAGAAACCTTTTCTTAACAGGCTGCAGAGATGGCTCGGTGATTGGAAGCATTGGCTGCCCCTGCAGGAAGGAGGACCTGGGTTCTAACACTCCGGTTCCAGGGCAATATACGTGCAGATAAAACCCTCATTTCTGGGCTGTGATAAAATACCAAAGGCAGCCTGGGGAAGAAGTGGTTTCATCTCACACTGGGGAAGTCAGAAAAGTGGACGCAGGAACTGGTGGAGAGGCCATGAGGGCATGCTGCTTACTTGCTCAGCTGGCTTGAGATAGCACCAAGAACCACCAGCCCAGGGCTGGCACCACGGTGGGCCGAGCTGGGCCTCCCACATTAGTCATTGAGAAAATGCACAAGTCAGACAATGACCGGGAGGCGGACGCGGATGGATCTCTGAGTTCGAGGCCAGCCTGGTCTACTTACAAGTGTTAAAAACCACTAGCCAGCACACACCCACACACACTGAGCCGGAGAGGTGGCTCAGTGGTTCAGAAGCATTTGATCTTACAGGAGAGCTGAACTGAGTCCCCAGCACTGGGGTACTCACAGCCCTCTGGACACCTGTGCCCAAGTGCACATACCCACTGGAAGGCCTCCAAAATAGACATAATTAAAAGTAACATCATTTATAAATTAAAAACCTGAAGGGCTGGTGAGATGGATGTCTCAGTGGATGCCGCTGCCAAGCTTGAGGACCTGAACCGGTCCCTGAATCTACGTGAGGGGGGCAGAGCTGCAGCTCCAGGGCATTCGACACAGCTCTGTAAAAGGATTTGTTGGGTTGTGACCGCCAGTACCGGTGACAAGAAAAATTGACACTGGACTGGAGACAGGGCCAGGTGGGGTGAGCACTTTCTGCCGGGCCTGATGTGAGTTTGATATCTTGGACCCATAAGGTAGGTAGAAGGACAAGTGAGTCCTGCAGATGGTCCTCAGACCCCTCCGTGTGTGCAGACAAGTGGGCACAAGATAATGTTCTAAATTTATCCAGCCGGGCTTGGTGACAGGCACATTTAATCCCACCACTTGGGAAGCATCCAAGGCCAGCCTGGTCTACAGATGAAGTTACAGGGCAGCCAGGGCTACATAGTCCCTGGCTCAACAACCACGTTGAAGCTGCTATGGCACATGCCTTTGATCCCAGCACCTCTTAGGCCAGCAGTTCATAAACGTGGGGGTAGTGATCCCTTTAGGGGTCGAACAAACCTTTCACAGGAGGCAAGTATCAGATAGTTTTTTATTTATTTATTTAGGTTTTTTCGGAACAGGGTTTCTCTGTGTAGCTTTGCGCCTTTCCTGGAACTCGCTTTGTAGACCAGGCCAGCCTCGAACTCAGAGATCCGCCTGCCTCTGCCTCCCGAGTGCTGGGATTAAAGGCGTGCTCCACCACCGCCCGGCAGTTATAATTTATAACAGTAGCAACAAACACGATTTTATGGTTGGGGGTCACCACATCATGAGGAACTGTATTGAAGGGTCAAAGCATTAGGAAGGTTGAGAACCACTGACTTAGGCTAAGGCAGGAAGATCTGGAGTTTGAGGCCAGCCTGGGCTTCATAGCAGGACCATCTCAACAGTAAAGATGAATAATGTGAAGCCCAGGCGGTGGTGGGGCACGCCAGCACTGGGGTGGGGTGGGGGCAGAGGCAGGTGGATCTCTGTGAGTTCGAGGCTGGCCTGGTCTACAGAGTGAGTTCCAGGACAGGCTCCAAAGCTACCCAGAGCAAACCTGTCTCAAAAAACAAAACCAAAAAAGGTGTGGAAACACAATGCTCCATAGAACATTCTGGAAGGTGAACTGGCTGAGAGTTTGCTCTATACCCCACACTGGCCTTAGACTCATGCCAATCCTCTTTCCTCAGCTTCCCAAGCTCAGGAGTTACAGGTGTGGGCCACTGTGCCTGACTCTGCATCTTAAGGGATGTATGGCCCTCCCCACTCCACCCCCTGAAAAGATACAAGTTCATCATTAATTTCTATATAAAAACAAAAGCCTCATTTTACGAGGTATGTGGCGGTAGTATTTGGGGGGATTCCACATTGCAGGTTTGTTCCTCTGTACTGTACAAAAATGAACAGAATGGGGTGGGCCAGGGAGATTTCAGTGTTTCTGGTTTGCCCCCATCCAGTCTGGAGTCGTGAGAGAGCGTAAGGGAGTGGGTGATACTGTGTAGATGGTGATGTGTATTTAACCGGATCTCCATGTGGCCCAGTAGCGTCCCCCACCCCAACGTGATAAATGTAGACACTGCCTGCCTGGGACAGCTTGCTGACCCCTGTGTGCTCTGCTGATGGGGTGAGAATGAAATGCCAGGAGGAAATGATCCCCTAATTCTGGTCAAGCTGAGGATAGAAGGAAGGTTTCCCGGCCAGACAGGAAGAACAATTTTGTATATGTATGTTGGTCGTCTACACAGCCAGGCAGCTGAAGCCCCTTCTGTGTGCAGATCTGAAGGCTCTGTGTGGCACAGTGTGGGAGGCCTGGGAAGACCGGGCTGGAAAAAGCGGTTCCTGTCACCTCCCTCTGGGGTGAGGAAGTCACTTATGCGAATGTCATGCTGGGAACCTCAAGTTATCCACTAATTGTGTGGAAGTCCCTGGTTCTGACCCGAGCCCAGCAGGGCAAAATCGGATGTGGGTTCTGCTGGTGAGTTCTCCGTTCTCTGAATCCCTGTTCTCTCCCCTCCTCTCCTGGGATAAAGTCCCGGGTTCCAGTGGAGAAGCAGAACTTGGGAGTAGGGTATGTGGTACTAGTGACTTTTCAGCCTTGCCAAAACTTCATGATGGACGGGGCCAGCGGAGAGCCACGAGTTGGCCCAAGTCAACCTGGGGACCCCCCAGCTCAAGCTGAGCGAGGTAGGAAGCTTCGCTGAAGATGTCTCTGTAGAGTCCTGCGTTTCAATTCGGGTCTCAGAACTTAAGGTATCTAGTTCCCTGTACCGCCTGGCCCGGGCGACCGTTCGGAATGCGTGTCTCTGAATCTAAGGGACTTTCGAGGAGACAAACACTTTCTATTAACATCCTTGTTTTCAGTATGGAGAACCCATCAGTAGAATTAGCCATCCCATTTGTATTCCAGAAAATACATCTTTTGAGACATGAGCATACCAGTTGTACAAATGATGGGTTTCATTTTGACGTTTTTTTAGTGTCTTTAGTGTGTGTGCGCACGTGTGGGGGCTGAGGTGGTTGTTGGATGTGTCTGGTGCTTTTTGCTGGGTATGTGGTGTGTATGCATGCGTGTTTACATGTGTGGAGGTTCAAGGTTGGCATCGGGAGCCCTCCTGGATATTCGCTATGGCAAGGTGTCAGCTGCCATATCCAGAGCTCACTGGTAGCCCAGCCCGCTCTACCGCTAGCTGCCGCTGCTGGCTGGGCGCTAGGACTGTAGAAGGCCACCGGAGCCGGCACCCAGGTTAAACCAGAACTTTTGTCTTCATGCTCGCATGTTTCATCCGCTGGGCTATCTCTAGCCCTCCACCTTGTTTTATTTTATTGAGTCAGGGTCTGCTGTTGAACCTAAAATTCATTGATTGGCTGGCTACATTGGCCAGCCATTGCGCTCTGAAAATCCACTGTATCCATGTAGTCCGCTCTCTCCGGGTTTCCCCACCCAACCTGCCTTCCCTAGCCATGCCCAGCACAGAGTTGTTTTTTTTTTTTCTTTTTTTTTTTTTTTTTTTTTGAGACAGGGTTTCTCTGTGTAGTTTTGGAGCCTGTCCTGGAT